TTGGGAGGGGGATTCCTGGGAGGGAGGTCACCACTTTGCTGTAATCAAACTGCACAGGACAAACACGTAGCACTGCTGACTCCAAAAAACTCACTCACCTGCTTCTCATGCTGACTGGCCATTTCCACAGCACACGTCTTACCTGTGCAGATAACCTGTTCCTTCTGGAATTACTGACACGACTAGCCAGGCTCTCGGTCTTACAGCTCTGCTTGGCGTATCTGGCTGTGGTGGTTTCACACACAGGTAAGATCATGAGGTCCTGCACTCAATCCCCCTGACTTGGTGAGATGGGAACTCAGTGAGATGGGATGGGAGACAGAACAAAGGGGGTACAGATTAGGATGAGGACAGGGATGGCTCACTCACCAGTGATGGTCACGGCCAAAACAGACTCCACTTGGGGAAGAAAAATCCATTTAATTAGTTCCCAATCAATCAGAGTAGGACAGTGAGACACAACAACCACATCTGACAGCACCTTCCCCCACCCCTCCCTTCTTCCCTGGCTCCAATCACTTTGCTCCCCATTTCTGTCCCTTCTCCCCCAGCAGCACAGGGGACAGGGGATAGGCGTTCAGTCAGTTCATCTCCGCCACCCTTCCTGGCATGAGATCCCTCCCATGGGCTAAAAGAGTCCAGGAACAAAGTGTTCCAGCTTGGCTGCCCATGGAGTCATGGGCCTCTTTGGGCACAGCTCCGGGTTCTGGCATGGGGATGTCCATGGGCTGCAGATGGGTCCAGCTCACCTCCTCCCTGCCAATTCTGGGATCTTCTTGCTCATCATGAGCTCTCAAATTCACAACTGCCCTTGGGCTCATTTTTCTGCTCTGGCTTGGAGTCCTCCATGGCCTACGCGTGGTATCTGCTCTGACATCGAACTTCCACAGGCTGCAGGGGACCTCATTTACCTCCTCCTACTCTTCTGTGTGCTGATCCTGGTGTCTGAGGTTCTCTGTCTCCCCTCCTCCTTCTTCCTCATGGAAATGATGCTCTTTTTGTTCAGGCCATGGAGTCCAACTCCTTTCCCTGCACAGGACAATCCCAACATTCACACCATGTCCCTGAGGGCCTTGGCCAAATGCTGCTGGAATCTTGTCAGGCTTGGTGCCATGAGCACCTCCCTGGGGAGCTTGTTCCAGTGCTCCACCACCCTCTGCCTCAAGAACCTTTTCCTCATGGCCAACCTCACCCTCCCCTGCCACATCTTCCTGCCATTACCCTCTGCTCCTGGCATTCGTTGGTGGCCAGAGAGAAGAGATCAGCGCCTGCCCCTCCTCTTCCCCTTGGGAGGAAGTTCTAGACCCCCATGAGATCTCCTCTCAGTCTCCTCTTCTCCCGGCTGAACACACCAAGTGACTTCAGCCTCTCCTCCCTCACACCCTTCCCCTCTAAATCCTTCCCCAATTTTATGTTCCTCCTCTGGACACTCTCCAGCAGCTTTAGATCCTTTTTCTCCTGTGGTGCCCAAACTGCCCCCAGTGCTGGAGGTGAGGACACCCTAGTGCAGAGCAGAGAGGGACAATCACCTCCCTCGACCAGCTCGCAGTGCAGTGCTGGATGGTTTTTGTAACAAGATTTGGGTGGGGGTTGGCAGCCCATAGACTGGGAGCACAAACCAGAGGTGCCCACAAAGGTGGGGACAGGAAGGACAGACAGCTGTGCCCTGATGGAAGACAACACTTAGAGGGCAGTAGCCTTGTATTTCTCTTGCATGTAACAGGTGGAATGTACATAGGCTTCATGTGGTAGATCAAGAAGGGCTGGAGACGGGGTCACAATACAGTGGTGAGGGTTATCATGGTATAAATAAAATGACCCTTGCTTAAGATCAGCGTTCAATATAAATGTTTAGTAGCAGCTGGTATCAACAGCTTCAAGGAAGGTGTTGCGAGATCACTTGCCACGGGGACATCCTGATCAGTAAGTGGCTGGTTTATGCTGCCATGCACATTATTATATTTTTTTAACCTAGTTTGCATGATTTGACACCGCACAACCCTGCCACTCCACCAGCATGCTCAGATAGTAAAGAGAAAAAAACTTACAGCAGCCTTATATCTGTTGTTCTTCTGTTCTTCCAAGATCAGACAGGAACCTACCTATGCAATACAGGGTGAGGGGTGAACTCACACACCCATTACATGTCAAACTGCAACAGACACGGACTGGCTTCATGCAACAGCCTGGCTGGGCTTCCCTCTCCAAAATAAACACTTACTCATGGTAGATTTTACTGAATTTTGGTTTAATTTCACAATCTACTGTTACTATGTCTGTACAACATTGTACAAAATATAATCAAAAAGAACATTTCAGCCCCACATAAATGTTTGACTGGCTGTCTGAGGATCCAGTGGCTTTGAGTCCTTGATCTACACTTTCCTGTTTTCTAGATGCTGTCATCAAAGTACCTTTGGTGGCGAGGCTACAATGCTGTATGTTTATACAGTCATCATAACATTTTTGCTTTCCAGTCTCCTCCGCTCAGTGATGGAATCCCCCAGCCATGGCAGAAGATCTCTGGTGGTGTCTCACATTTCTGGTCAAACATGAAAGATTTTTAACCTCTTTTTGCATTAGGCAAAAACATTCCAGCCATATCATGAGGTAGGGGCAGTTATGTTTCAAAGGTGATCCTAACGTGGTAGTTTAGGACTGATACATCCTTTTTTACAGCACTTTAGGGTTTTTTAACTACAGCATTGATCTGCTCACACTAATACAGCTGGTTCTAGATTTCCATTCATCCCCATCAATGCATTTTCACTGTGAGTAGCACTACCCCATGTTAGCCTAGTCTGAGAATTTCTCTCTTGCCCAGATAAAACTAGCAAGCAGATATTCTTTTCAACTTAGAGGTTAAGGGAAATAATATACTTAGCTGCTACTGGTAGTGGAACACATGCAGAACTGCTTCTACCAGAATTAGGAAACCTGTTGAGAATTGCATGGAATCTAAAATGATTGCTTCAGATGCTAAAAGGCCAGCTTCATTTATCTCTGGTGTCAAGAAATATTCTTGTTGCAGCCTGGCAGCAGGTGAGTGGCGTGGCAGAATGATCTCTCACGCCTGCCTTTGCCATGCCAGCTTCATTTATCTCTGGTGTCAAGAAATCTTGTTGCAGCCTGGCAGCAGGTGAGTGGTGTGGCAGAATGATCTCTCACGCCTGCCTTCACCACGGAAAGTTTCATTTTGGCCAATTATTTTTCCCCTCGTCTTCTGTGTTCCTGAAGCTTCTAATCTGTGTTTTAAAGGTCTAGTGGAAAGCCATGATCATTACAAAAAGATACAATTCTTTTAAAGCTTTTTTTCCCCCATTTTGCCTACAACGCAGCATCCAGTTCAAAACTGGATCTGAAAAAAATAGAACACTCAGACTATAATGCACATCTGAAAATAAATACACAGCCTTTGTATAGAGCCAGTTCTCAATAAAAACCTTCTCATCCACACAGTAGTGCAGAGATGTCCTCAGGAAGGTCAGGTTACAGGGTGGAGTCTGAAAATAAGAGAAAAAGAGAAGTAGCTCAATATTGTGACGAGGGAGGTAAGTCTGGAAGGTACACGGGAAGGGGGACCTGAAATGTTATGGGGCCAAAGGGACCGATGTCTGCAAAAGGATTACAGGGATTTAACTGACATTTCTCCACTCATATAATCCCACTGAGGTATCCTGAATTGCATTAAAGGGAAAATATTTGACTCAAAGTAAAGGATATTTCATAATGCACTGAGTAAAATTGCCAACAATACTTGAGCAGGGCGGTTGGACTAGGTGACTTTCAGAGGTCCCTTCCAACCTCAACCATTCTGTGATTCTCTGTGGTAAGTACATCCACCATGAGTCAACCACTTCAGTCAACTACACTGATTCTCAATTCACATCTGGATCACCAATGACCATATTTAAATTATACCTCGCCCCTCTCTTTCCTCCCTTCTCATTGCCTTTGGACACCTAACACCAGCTTTTTCCTCGCTGCTTCACTTGACCTTGCACATCTTGCAGGATCTTCTATTCTGCAGCTCCTGCACTATAGAAAAATCTAACCCAGATTTTATCAAATGAAGACAGGATATTTCTTTCTAAAAGATTTGCTCAAGGTCAACCTCAAAACCTCTGGCTCATGTAGAAATCAAGTGTTTTTGTCACATCTGCCACATTTCTTTTTCTGTTTCATACTTGATCACGAGTAGGTTAATTAAAAATTCAATAAAGTAGACCAAATATACACTGCCTTATAGAAGACTGCTCTTGTCAGTAAATAAAGCTGCATGGCTGCCATTTTTAAGCATCTTGACAGTAATGACATTCCTTGACATCACACGATGAAGGAAGAGAAGCACTAGAGATTGTTACCTTTAATAGTGAGGAAGGCTTTGGTGAATGCACGGCCCAGTTCATTGGTGGCTTCTACCATATATTCTCCTTCATCATGTTTTGTGACGCCCAGGACGACGAGGGAGCAAACACCAAAGTCGTTTGTGCAAAAATAGGTAGGATCATTGGAGAGGTCTCTATTGTCCTTGTACCATGTGATCTTTGGAAGTGGGTAGCCTGCAACCGCACAGCTCATATGGCACTCACTCCCAGTAGTCACCACATGAGGCTTCAATGGGACAAGGAATCTTGGGGGCAGGTTTTGATTAACTCCCCGGTATTTCTGTGGTCTGACTTGAAATTGAGCTGTAAAAAAAGCCAGTAACATACAAACACACACTGAGATACTGCTTCACAGCAACAGAAGTCAGGGTTTAAAAGATTGGGTTTCAGTCATGACACTTGGTTGTGCAGAATGTCTGCACTGCAAACTGCCTGACATCCCATGCACTTACGAATTGTAAACTGTGCTGCTTCTCAAATTAGCCAGAATTTAACTTTGAAGTCAGAAACTTTGCTTTCTGCAAAACTTAAGCTTTAGATTTTGCTTGGAATTAATTCTGTGGTGAATTACATAATCCCATGGCTGGAAATAAAGGATCTATCTGCACAATGTCCAAGCAGAAAGGACAAGCTTTCTCTGTCAAACTGGAATTTCTTAGGGTATCTCTATGAATTCTTGTTCTGGGCAACTAAACGTTCACAAGAGGAGAGACCAATTTCAGGATGGTGTGTTAGAAACAATAAAAGAAACAAAGCATGGCAACACACATTAAATAATTGTAAAAGCTGTTTTACCCTTTGGTTTTCGAACTGTCCAAGGCTTTGCAGTATCAGATGGACCACTAGCTCCCAAGTTATTTTTTGCCACAACCCTAAAGTAGTAGTCCCGGCCTGGGATCACTTTGGTGAATGTGAACTTGTTGTTGTAGATCAGGTCACCCACCACTTGCCACAAGCCCTTCTCTGATTCACGTTTCAGGACAGTGTAGTAGAGATCATTTTCCCATTTCTCAGATGCTGATGGCTCCCAGGTTACTGTCACTGTGTTGGGCACATTCTCTTGCAATTGAATAGGTCCAGGTGATTGCGGGATATCTGTCAGATGAAGGCAAATAATATCAAAGACGTAGGGAA